TGCCACTGCACTCCAGCCTGGGCGACAGAACAAGACTCCATTTCAAAAAAAAAAAAAAAATTAATATCCTTTTAACAAACTCATGGCTGGGCACGGTGGCTCACGCCTGTAAGGAGGCCAAGGCAGCCAGATCATGAAGTCAAGAGATCCAGCCCATCCTGGCCAACACAGTGAAACCCTGTCTGTACTAAAAATACAAAAATTAGCCGGGCATGGTGGCAGGCGCCTGTAATCCCAGCCACTCGGGAGGCTGAGGCAGGAGAATCGCTTAAACCTGGGAAGTGGAAGTTGCAATGAGCCGAGATCACACCACTGCACTCCAGCCTGGTGACACAGCAAGATTCCATCTCAAAAAAAAAATCATTTACACACACACACGTGTGTGTATATATTATACATATGTATGTTATATATGTGTGTGTGTGTGTGTGTGTGTGTATATTTATATAATTTTTTTAAATAGAGAGGGATCTAGCTATATTGACCAGTTTGGTCTCAAATTCCTAGTCTCAAAAGATTCTCTCACATTGGCCTCCCAAAGTGTTGGGATTACAAACATGAGCCACTGCGCCAGGCCAAACTAGATACATCTTAAGGGACAAGTCTCATGCCTGATGCATGGGTCACACACAGTGTTCACCAAACTCCCTGATGCCCTAAGCAGAAACACCCAAACTTCAAACCTGGAGAAGCTGACATTTTCATGCTACAGACAGCTTTTCCCAAGACTTCGGAACGAGACTGCATATTATAATGAGACTCTTACTCCCCTTTGATTCTACCTCTTTCACTGGGCAGGATAATGGCGTCACAGGATCCTTAGGGTGTAACTTTTCCAGCCAGAAACCTCTGTGGCTGGGGCGCCTTTGCCTGAGTTTTGCTTGGGCCCACTGGGCCCAATCCACCCACTCAGCCGGATAGGCTGCACTCAGCTGATGCTACTGGCCCAGATCCCACACCTCCAAGCATGGAGTGGCAGGGGGTGTGTGAGCAAGCACGGGGCTGTTCACTGTGCACAGCCAGGTATGCCAGCTGCAGTGGGGCAGGCAGCACCAGGCACCAGCACAGGTGCCCGCTCTGTGCAAGTCTGCAGCTGGACCAGGCATACCAGAAGTGGCTTCCATTGCAGGCACTGGGGAACATGGTGGCTCCCAGAATCTTGGAGATGCAAGGAGCTGCAGAGCCCCAAAGAGGGTGTCACAGACCTGGCTCAGGGAGCCCCCAAGTCTAGGCTCCCTGAAGGGCAACAGCTCTCTTCTCTCCTCCTTGTTGCCTGCAATGTAGCAAGCAGGGGGTGTGTTTCAGGCCTGTTTGTGTTACAGCTCTTTCAGTCCCACTATTCAGCAGGTCCCATGTTCTCATCCTGTGTCCAGGAAGAATGAGGTACGTGGATAACAGGAGGGTGAGCAAGAAAGAGAGGAGCTTCATTGAGCGACAGAACAGCTCTCAGGGGACCCGAAGTGAGTAGCTCCTTCCCACAGGAGGATTTGTCATCCCCACAAATCGAGGAGATCCCAAGTGGGTAGATCCTTCCCACAGGTGGTATTCCTGACGTCTCTGTGAGTATGGCTGAGTCTGGGGTTTTTACGGGCTTCAGAAGGGAGAAAGTGTGTGCTGATTGATCCATAGGCAGCCATGGACAGGCCCAGAAAAAGCACCATAAATCTCACTCTGGGCAGCAGACTCCACCCAGAACTGGCAGCCCAGCCCCCATGTCTCAGGCTGTCCCTAGCTTGAAGGTGGGTCTTCGATGGACACCCACCCCTTTCCACCCAGGAGCCTGTGTGCCTCCTGCCGCCATCAATCATGTTGTCCACAGGGCTCAGGCTGTTCAGGTTGAGTGTTGCCTACAGGACTGGGCTGAGCTGCCCTCAGCCCCTCCTTGGCCTTACTCTCATGCTTGTGAGCACTCCAATTCCAGAGGGGGTCTAGGCAGCAAGGGGCTGGCATGCTAGCACTGCCCTCAGTGTGTGCACACCTGGCTAGGTTGCAACAGCACCTGGCTTGGCTTCAGCTTTGTCAGGAGTCAGGAGAGGCCAGGTGGAGGTGCAGGCACTTCTGAGCTTTCGGGGGTAGGCGGGGGTGGCATCTCAGCCCTGGGATTGCAGGGATACCTGGGTCCACAGCTGTGGCTGGGCAGATGCAGCTACTCCCAGAGAGTGGGGCTCCTGTCCTGCCAACTTGGAAGGGGGCAGGGCTCCCACACGCTCAGTGGAGCACATGGTCCCAGCTGAGCCTCCCCTGCTGCAGCCAGCATCTTCCCAGCAGCTACTCAAGAGAGGCTGCCACTGCTATCAGTGGTATAACTGACATTTCACAGTCAATAGCTTCTGCTGGTAACGTCACAAAAACCTGATCTAAGAGATCTTTAGTACCTATTGGTTACATAAGGTATCAAATAAGTATGTCAATACTATATGCTGTACATGGGGAAATTCCTCTGGGAACACTGAGACCCATCCACACAGAACAAGAAAACAGGCACATGGCGGCCAAGTGTGGTGGCTCACACCTGTAATCCCAGCACTTTGGGAGGCCGGGGTGGGCGGATCACGAGATCAGGAGATTGAGACCATCCTGGATAACACGGTGAAACCCCATCTCTACTAAAAATACAAAAAAAAAAAAAAATTAGCTGGGCGTGGTGGCGGGCACCTGTGGCCCCAGCTATTCGGGAGGCTGAAGCAGGAGAATGGCATGAACCCGGGAGGCAGAGTTTGCAGTGAGTGGAGATTTGCGCCACTGCACTCCAGCCTGGGTGACAGAGCGAGACTCTGTCTCCAAAAAAAAAAAAAAAAAAAAAAAGAAAACAGGCACATGGTTACAAGTCTCACCTAATTTCCTATGGTCATTTTATTTATTCAGCTGGTTTCCTTTAATTTCTATTTTTCTGGTTTTGTTTTCTAATTTTATTTGTTTTTAATTGCTTTCCTTTAAGCCTGGGTTCGTGGGTCAAAACCAATATGCAAACTGGGTAGTAATATTACTATGAATTTTACCTTGTATTTTCCCCTTTTAAACTTATTCATTGCCATATTTTGTAAAAGTACAATTTCTTTTTTTTGAGACAGAGTCTTGCTCTGTTGCCAGGCTGGAGTGCAGTGGCACGATTTCAGCTCACTGCAATCTCCACGTCCCAGGTTTAAGCAATTCTCCTTCCTCAGCCTCCTGAGTAGCTGGGACTACACGTGCGTGCCACCAAGCCCAGCTAATTTTTGTATTTTTAGTAGAGACAGGCTTTCACCATGTCGGCCAGGATAGTCTTGATCTCTTGACTTCGTGATCCACACGCCTCGGCCTTTCCTGGGATTACAGGTGTAAGCCACCGTGCCTGACCTGAAAGTACAATTTCTAACAGAATAATGCTGACACAGCACTTTGAGAGGATAGAAAAAGACGACAGAAGCGACAAAAACTGAAGTTAATAATGGACTCTAGGTAGACTTAGCCTGAGAGCACACCCTTCAAACCTTTGATGCTCAAATATGGTAAAAAGGGTTTTGACAATGACTCCCAGCAGTCAGTCTCTCCAGTGTGGGAGCAGACCAGCTACCTGCAACAAGTTCATCCCAGCACGGGGACTATCAAAACTTAATTACAGGATGACTCATCAGTGATGCATTTGGAGAAAGATCTCAACCAAAAGGGGGAAAATATCCAAGTTGTCAAATAAAAGTCGACTCACTTATGTTTAAAAAATACCTTGACAAATACAGCTGGGAAAGGCCACGAAGGGCGAGTTCTCATGAATAAGTAATAAGAAAAACTACCACAAGATTCTGCAAAAACCACAACCTTGCACTAAGGCAACCTCACACAAAAAAATACTTCAGCAAGGACAGCTGCCCAGCAACTGCCTGTCCAACCCTGCATTGGGAGTACGCTTGTTACTGTTCTTTGTAGCCAAGGTTAATTATTTCCAAACCATTATCTTCCTCTTCATTTTTTCTTTAAAAACCGTTACTTTCCTGAATGCGCAAATCGTTTACTATGGCAGGCATATTCGCCAACGTCCTATTCCCAAATAAATATTTTCAGTTAGAGAACTTTTTTTTTTTTTTTTTTTTTTTGAGACGGAGTCTCGCTCTGTTGCCAGGCTGGAGTGCAGTGGCGAGATCTCGGCTCACTGCAACCTCTGACTCCCAGGTTCAAGCGATTCTCCTGCCTCAGCCTCCCGATTACCTGGGATTACCGGCATGCACCACCACGCCCAGCTAATTTTTGTATTTTTAGTAGAGATGGGGTTTCACCATCTTGGCCAGGATGGTCTCGATCTCCTGACCTCGTGATCCACCAGCCCCGGCTTCCCAAAGTGCTGGGATTACAGGCGTGAGCCACCGCGCCCGGCCGAGAGCCTGGTATTAGGTTGATAATTCCCTCTCCCGTCCGTGGCGCTCCCACAGGAAAACATCCACCCACTGCCCACCGTGAGGCCGCATCCAGGCAGACAGGCACCGCTGGGGGACAACACACTCGCGCTGACTGGATACACTGTAACTTGACCCACATCTCAGACCAGCCGGCGGCCTCTCCAAGGAAGCCCGAGGCGAGGAAGACCCTAGTCGACGTGCACTCCCAGCCAGGTCTGCCACAGGTCGGCCCTCGCATTTAAACGTTAGATGTTGAAGGGCTTTCATAAAAGAGTGATGTGCTCCTGCTTGTAAGAGCCGGGGCCGGAGGACGGTAACAGCGACACGGGACGGGAGCGAGCCTCAGAATTGGGAATGTCTGTGGCTCTTCGGGACAGCGGAGGGAGTAGATCTAGTGAAGCGCGACGACTCTGGGGTGGCAGAAGTGAGAACTATGGGCCCCACGGGGACTGAGGGAACGCAAAAAAATCGTCTCAGGACACAAGACGCCGGGCCGTGGAACGGTCCTCAATGCTCTCTCGGGTAAGCGCAGCACTTCGCATCATTCCCAAAGGCAGCGGCGACACCTTGTGACGTCTTGGCGTTCGGCGCGGCGCGCGTCACACTAGGCGCCGGCGCGGGGTGCTGACGTCAGGACGCCGGCGCTGAGCGCCGTGACGCTCAGCCGGTCCTTGTGGAGTGCGGGTCTCTGCTGCGGACGCCGGGGGCCGGCGCGGCGTTGGCCGCCCCCGGCCTCGCCGAGCGCAGCGCGCCCGAAGGCCAGTGCTTGCGCTCCGTCCGCGGCCCGGCGCCCGAGGTGGGCGGGGAGGCCGCCGCGCAGACGCCGCACGCTGCGCCGCCGCTTTCGCGTCGCCCGCTTCCGGCCGCGGCGGCCGCCATTTTGCTCGCGCGGAAGCGCCGCGGTGGGGTGGGAACCCAAGCGGGAGAGCCGCGGGCTGTGGGGCCGCAGCCATGCCGTCGTCCCCGCTGCGGGTGGCGGTGGTGTGCTCAAGCAACCAGAACCGGAGCATGGAGGCGCACAACATCCTCAGGTAGTTGGGCTCCGTCCTGGCCCCGCGCGCTCCGCTCCGGCGACCGGCGCGCCCTCCTCCCCGGTTCCCCCTGGCCCGCGCCGGGCGTCCTGAGAGGAGGCCGGGCTGCGCTCGAGGGTCTGCTGGTTGGGATGGCAGCTGGACAGCAGCGCGCGGCGCCCATACGCGGGTGGGCATCGCGGGGAAGGCAGGTTCCGGGACGAGACGCCCGCTGTCCGGTGGTCCTTCGAGCTCCCCGAGGCCGGGCGAGGGGTGCGAGGGTAGCGGCCAAGGTGAGGGGCTGCGCGGCGGCGGCCGATCGTGGTTATTTCGTGTGCGTCGTTGGCTGCCTTTGCTGGAAACGCGCACAACATAACCTCGGCAAAGAACGATGTTGTAAATAAGAAAGCGGTCTATTTTTTTAATACCATGGATTTGTGTGTTTGCTACTTCTTGTTTTCTTTTGCAAAAGATCCTCTCTTCCTGGAACGCCTCCAACCGGTAGTTTCTGGAATACAACGAGGATTTGGTTTGGCTCTGCTGGTTTAAATTCGCTGCTAACTGGTCTTTTGTGACTTTTGCGTAGCATCTGTCTAATGAAAGTTTATTTCTGCTTGATACAAGTAGTTTGTTCAGTTACATAGCAAACTGAAACTGACCACTTTACTTATAGTGAAAATTTGGTATATGTGTCAACTTTGATAGTAAGACACAATTGAAACGGCTTTTCCCCCGCCAAAGTTACCTACGTGAAGTTTAAACGAAAACAGTATCTCACTCCTCTTATCGCAGCCCAGCTATAACTTTCCTGAGCAACTTGGGAATATTAGCAGTCCCTCTTTTTTTTTCTCTTTTTAACAGTGTCACACGGGCCAGGCACAGTGGCTTACGCGTGTAATCCCAGCACTTTGGGAGGCCGAGAGTTCGCGACCAAACCCCCCCACCAAAAAAAAAACAGTGTCAAGTGTTCGTGATCTGCTGATTCTCTTTTTTTTTTTCTTTGAGATAGTCTTGCTCTGTCGCCCAGGCTGGAGTGCAGTAGCGCGATCTTGGCTCACTGCAACCTCTGCCTCCCGAGTTCAAGCGATTCTCCCGCCTCAGCCTCCGGAGTGGCTGGGATTACAGGTGCATGCTACCACGCCCGGCTAATTTTTTTGTTTTTTTGTTTTTTGTTGTTTTTTTTTTGAGACAGAATCTCGCTCTGTCGCCTTGGCCGGAGTGCAGTGGCGCCATCTCGCCTCACTGCAAGCTCCGCCTCCCGGGTTCACGCCATTCTCCTACCTCTGCCTCCCTAGTAACTGAGACTACAGGCGCCGCCACCATGTCTGGCTAATTTTTTGCATTTTTAGTAGAGACAGGGTTTCATCTTCTTAGCCAGGATGGTCTCGATCTCCTGACCTCGTGATCCGCCCGCCTCGTCCTCCCAAAGTACTGGGATTACAGGCGTGAGCCACCGCGCCCGGCCTTTTTTTTTTGTATTTTTAGTAGAGACGGGGTTTCACCAGGTTAGCCAGGATGGTCTCGATCTCCTGACCTCGTGATCCATCTTCTTCAGCCTCCCAAAGTGCTGGGATTACAGATGTGAGCCACCGCGTCTGGCATTTTCTTTTTCTTTTTGGTAGAAACGGAGTTTCACCATGCTGGCCAGGCTGATCTCTAACTCTAGACCTCAGGTGATCCACCCGTCTCAGCCTCCCAAAGGCTGGGATTACAGGCGTGAGCCACCACGCCCGGCCTGCTTGTTGCAGAAATTCTTACTGTAGAAAATGGAAGTGGTTCCTCAGAAGTACCATTTTGGTGTCCATCTGTCTCCCATGTGTTCACGCATGCATCAGGGAGATAAGCTCTGATTCTGTTGTCTGCTCCATAGTTAATATTAACATCAGTAGTTTCCTTTTTTTGTCACGAGGTGCTTTACTTTCGTTATTGATACAAATTATTTTCTATAATAACCCGGTCAAATGGGAGAATTTGGCAGTCCGATTTCGGGGGGGCGTTCCCCACAGAGACCCACAGGCTGGTGGTGTCGGTGCTGAGTGCCCAGGTTCACAGCACAGCTTGTGGCTTGTGTCCATCTTGCAGGTGGCTCTTCCTTGCACATCACGACTGGGGTCTCGGGGGTGAAGGGGGCAGGAAATCCTCCAGACTCTTAGGAAATTTCACTCCACTTCTCCTGCTCAATGGCCTCTCTGGTGGGCAGGGTGTGGTGTTCTGTGTCTCCGTTTTCTAGCTTGGCCTTATTGAAGTTGGAATTTATGTCTGTTGTCATTTTCACTTTTTTTTGTTTGTTTTCGAGCCAGGGTAAGGCTGGAGTGCAGTGTTGTGATCATAGCTCACCGCTTCAACCTTGAATATCTGGGCTAAAACGATCCTCCTGCCACAGCCCCCGAAAGTATTTGGATTACAGGTGTGAGGCACCGCACCCAGAGCATTTTTGCTTTTGGAAATTACGTATTTATGTCCTTTGCCTATACCTATTCGTTTGGGTTTATTTAGAAGGTTTTAATACTTATTTAGGAAATCTGTGTGATAGTGTTTTTCTGTTACAAGCTAGGAAAGCTTGTGAAAGTCAGATTTAGAAAGTCTTTTAGGTATTAAAAATGATGTTTGTGAAAAGCTTCGAAAATGAAAAAAGCAGGAAAATTGTATATGCGGTTGGGTAGGACTACATAAAACTGCACAGGAAAGCTGAAATAAAATTGTCAAAAGGAATTGTAGTTAACTGAACATGCACAGTAGCTAGTTGATCAGTGAGCCTCACCGCTTTTAAAAATTTTGGGCCTGGCAAGGTGGCTCTTCTGCCTATAGTCCCAGCACTTTGGGAGGCTGAGGGAGGAGGTTTGCTTGAGCCCAGGAGTTTGAGCCCCGGGCAACACCGTGAGACCCCCCATCATTACAAAACATTTAAAAAATTAGCCACATGTGGTTGCACATGCTAATAGTTCTGGCTTCTTGGGAGACCAAGATCACTTGAGCCCAAGAGGTTGAGGCTGCAGTGAGCTATGACTGCGACACTGAACTCCTGCGTGGACGACAGACCAAGTCCCTGTCTCTAAAAACAGAAACAGAAACAATTTCATCCTATTGAAAATCAGCCTGAACTCTATTTTCCTGATAAATCCAAGTGATAAGAAGTGTTGACATCAGTGTTCTCTGGGGTGATCATCTTTGATGTTTGAGACTAAATTGTTTCAAATGCCAGTCCTGGGAGTCCTTATGTTTTCAGGCAGTGCGGGAAAACTCTGCCTTACGTTTCCGCAGAGCCTCCTGCGTTTTGTACTCCAAGGATTAAAGTGTCCCCTTGGAACCAATTAGTTTTTTTGTTTGTTTGTTTTTGTGGTTTTTTTTGTTCTTGTTTTTCTGGTTTTTTTGTTTGTTTGTTTTTTGAGACGGAGTCTCACTCTGTCGCCCAGTGCAGTGGCGTGATCTCAGCTCACTGTAGCCTCTGCCTCCTGAGTTCAAGCAATTCTCCAGCCTCAACCTCCTGCATAGCTGGGACTACAGACATGTGCTACCACACCCAGCTAATTTTTTTGTATTTTTAGTAGAGACGGGGTTTCACCATGTTGGCCAGGCTGGTCTCAACCTCCTGACCTCAGGTAATCCACCCACCTTGGCTTCCCAAAGTGCTGGGATTACAGGCGTGAGCCACCATGCCTGGTCTTATTTATTTATTTTTACAGACAGGGTCTTACTGTGTTGCCCAGGCTGATATTGAATTCCTGGCCTCCCAGGTAGCAGGGATTACAGGCATGCACCACCACGCCTAGCTAATTTTGTATTTTTAGTAGAGACAGGGTTTCTCCCTGTTGGTCAGGCTGGTCTCAAACGCCTGACCTCAGCTGATCCGTTCTCCTCCGCCTCCCAAAGTGTTGGGATTACAGGCGTGAGCCACCACGGCCCACCTGGCAGCTTCTTTATGATAGTTTTTTGGGGTTTTTTTGAGACAGAGTCTCACTTTGTCACCCAGGCTGGAGTGCAGTGGAACCATCACGGGGCCCACTGTGACCTCTGCCTCCCGGGTTCAAGCGATTCTCCAGCCTCAGCCTCCAGAGTAACTGGGATTATAGGCGTGCACCACCACGCCGGGCCTTTTTTTTGTTTGTTTTTTGAGATGGAGTCTCGCTCTGTAGCCCAGGCTGGAGTGCAGTGGCCGGATCTCAGCTCACTGCAAACTCCGCCTTCCGGGTTTACGCCATTCTCCTGCCTCAGCCTCCCAAGTAGCTGGGACTACAGGCGCCCGCCACCTCGCCTGGCTAGTTTTTTGTATTTTTTAGTAGAGACGGGATTTCACTGTGTTAGCCAGGATGGTCTCGATCTCCTGACCTCGTGATCCGCCCGTCTCGGCCTCCCAAAGTGCTGGGATTACAGGCTTGAGCCACCGCACCCGGCCAAGAAACACTGTTGAGGCGCAAGCTGGCTGCCCTGCCAGTTGCATTCGTTTAGGAGAACAGTTCTTCTGTTGCTAAATAGCCTTTTTGCCATTTGTGAACATTTTGTTGGGGGAGAAACAAACTGCATTTTGTTTTGAAATAGGCTTTGCTGAAAGGAACGCCCAGCAGGTGGTGGGCTCCTGTCAGTGTTGTGAGACAGGCTGTCTCCTTTGGCTGCTGTGGTCACGCTCATCACGGGCTTGTTCATGCTTTTTTTTTTTTTTTTTTTTTTGAGAGAGTCTCGCTCTGTCATCCAGGCTGGAGTGCGGTGGAACAATCTCGGCTCACTGTAAGCTCTGCCTCCCGGGTTCACGCCATTCTCCTGCCTCAGCCTCCCGAGTAGCTGGGACTACAGGAGCCCACCACCACACCCGGCTAATTTTTTGTATTTTTTAGTAGAGACGGGGTTTCACCATGTTGGCCAGGCTGGTGTCGAACTCCTGACCTCAAGTGAACCACCATGTCCGGCCCTTGTTTGTGCTTTGATGGAAAGTATTTCATTGTACGCTGTCTGAATTGGTAAGGAAGTCATTTTAGGCTTGTTCCTTCTCACGTGTGCTGCCTGTGGTGTACCCTGTGTCTGGGCCTCCGTCACCCTCTCAGTCACAGCCAACAGTTGACTTTATTGCTTTAGCCTCACGTTTCCATCAGGATCTGTGGTTATGACTGAATGTCGGGAATTTTAATTTTAGCATTTTCACGTTTATTTCACAGTCCGGGTGCCGTGGACGCGGGTTTGTAGCCACGGATCGCTGCTGCCGTTGTTCCACGTTTCTGGCCGTGTGTGGTAGATGTTTGGGGAGCCGGGTTGTGTAGCTCGGGACATCTAGGGATGTAAGGACTGATGCAACTGTCCTCAGCGTCGGGGGACTCAGGTGTTTCACATACACTAGACAAGGACGGCTTCTCGATGTGTGCGTGGGTGACGTGTGTGGCAGTGCAGCAGGGTGCTCTCGGGCTCTGTGGCTTCCTCTACTCATCCTTGGAGGTGTGTGTGGAGCCACATGGCCTGTCGCACCCCATGGATGGAAGTTCAGCTTATCTGTTCGTCTGGGGCTGTGGAAGGCCAGCAGCGGACATCCTGGAGGCAGCCACGTTGTGAGGCACATGTGTGTTCATACGGTGGGTTTCTAGAGGCCAGTGTCTGTGACAAAGGCACAGGTGGTTTTCACTTGCTGGGTGTTGCCCCATTATCGACACAGAGGCTGGTTACACTCCAGCAGCCCCTCTGCCTGAGGTTTTCCTCCCTTGTGACACTGTTACTCATTCAACAGTCAGTAAATTTTTTTTTTTTTTTTTTTTTTGAGACAGGGTCTCGCTCTTGTTGCCCAGGCTGGAGTGCAGTGGCGCAATCTCAGCTCACTGCAACCTCCGTCTCCCGGTTTCAAGCGATTCTCCTCCCTCAGCCTCCCAAGTAGCTGGGACTATACAGGCGCCTGCCACCACGCCTAATTAATTTTTTGTGTTTTTAGTAGAGACAGAGTTTCACCATGTTAGCCAGGATGGTCTTGATCTCCTGACCTCATGATACCCCCTCCTTGGCCTCCCAAAGTGCTGGGATTATAGGCGTGAGTCACCATGCCCGGCCTTACTTTTCTTTTTTTAAAAATAATGTGGAACTCCTCATGCGTTTGTGTGTCATTCTTGCTCAGGAGCGAAACAGCGGCACCTTTCTGAACAAGGATGACAGGCCTGTGAGAGGAGTTTAGTGTTAATGGAAGTGTGTGTGCGCCCTGCGCCAGGCAGATTCCTTCAGATGCAGACCTTTTTTGATTTATAAATAAAGCTAGGATGAGAAGTCTGTATTTTTTAGATAATTATAAGTATCAGTTGTGACTTTAAAAGAACACGTGTTCTGTACCAAACTTTTTTTGTTGTTTTTTTGAGACAGAGTCTTGCTCTGTTGCCCAGGCTGGAGTGCAGTGGCATGATCTTCAGTTTCTGCAACCTCTGCCTGCTGGGTTCAAGCGATTCTCCTGCTTCAGTCTTCTGAGTAGCTGGGGTTACAGGCGTGCACCACCACGCCCAGCTAAATTTTTTTTTTTTTTTTTAGTAGAAATGGAGTTGGGGTTTTGCCTCTTGGCCAGGCTAGTCTGAAATTCCCGACCTCGGGTGATCCACTTGTCTCAGCCGCCCACAGTGCCTGGATTACAGGTGTGAACCACCATGCCCGGCGGCAAACTAACTTTTTTCATGCAACTTGTGACAAACTTAAGTATGGTTGTCAGCGATGACGGAAGAATTTTCTTTTTTTTTTTTTTTTTTGAGACGGAGTCTCGCTCTGTCGCCCAGGTTGGAGTGCAGTGGCGCGATCTCGGCTCACTGCAAGCTCCGCCCCCCGGGTTCACGCCATTCTCCTGCCTCAGCCTCCCGAGTAGCTGGGACTACAGGCGCCGCCACCTCGCCCGGCTAGTTTTTTGTATTTTTTAGTAGAGACGGGGTTTCACCGTGTTAGCCAGGATGGTCTCGATCTCCTGACCTCGTGATCCGCCCGTCTCGGCCTCCCAAAGTGCTGTGATTACAGGCTTGCGCCACCGCGCCCGGCCGACGGAAGAATTTTCTGATCTTACCTGCACTCCATCAGCGTTTGGAGACGATCTTTCTCCTGGTGTGAACTGGAGCTCATTGGTGGCAGTTGACACGTTTCCTGTTCAGCTCTTTTCTCCAGTTGATTAGGAAAAGCATTTGGTCAGTTTCCTCACCTGTGACTAGGAAGCCCGACGTGCGAGCGCCGTCGGACCCATTGCAGCGTCTGTTCTCTGCCTGCAGCACCCCTGAGCCTGTGGGACTCCTTTGGGTGTTGGGTGTCGGTTCCCATGGTGGCAGCATCGTGGGGATGTTGGGAAACTGGGAGAGACAGTTTCCTGTGGTGGAGCGGGTAGTTGGACCTTTACAAGTCCCTTAGGAATCCTGTGAACTTGGATCCTCCAAAGCCAGGACGTTGGTCGATGGCCAACATGTTCTGATGAAATCTTCCCCAAGTCCACATCAGTTAGTCCTTTCAGTTTAAAGTAAAGCCTTAAACAAGCTCTGATGTTCAGATGTGGCTTTGTAATGGTCAGTTCTGGTTTGGTTGCTTTTGTGCAACTTGCTACAGAATTTTTATTTACTTATTTGAGACAAGGTCTTGCTCTGTCGTCCAGACTGGAGTGCAGTGACATGATCTCGGCTTACTACAGCCTGCTCGGGCTCAGGCAGTCCTCCCACCTCAGCCTCCCGAGTAGTTGGTACCACAGGCACATGCTACCATGCCTGGGTGGTGATTTTTAAATTATTTGTAAGACAAGGTCTTGCTGTGTTGCCCAGGCTGGTCTCAAACTCCCAGGCCCAAGCGATTGTCCCACCTCGGCCTCCCAAAGTGCTAGGATACATGCCTGGCCCAAAATATTTTAAATATTTAACTTGATTCAGTTTTTTGTTTTGTTTCGTTTTGTTTTTTTGAGATGGAGACTTGCTCCGTCACCCAGGCTGGATGCAATGGCGTGATCTCAGCTCATTGCAGCCTCCGCCTCCTGGGTTCAATTGATTTTCCTGCCTCAGCCTCCCAAGTGGCTGAGGTTGTAGGCAGTCACCACCACACCTAGCTGATTTTTATATTTTTAGTAGAGACAGCGTTTCACCGTGTTGGCCTGGCTGGTCTTTATCTCCTGACCTCGTGATCTGCCCGCCTCAGCCTCCTAAAGTGCTGGGATTACAGGCACGAGCCACCACGCCCAGCCTAGATTAAAAATTTTAAGATATGTTCTCTACTATGAGCCAATGAAATTACTCATTTTCTTTCTTTCCCATTTCCTATCCCTTGCTTTTGGAGTTTTGTGTCTTAGTGTGACTGTGACTCTTTCTCTCCTTTTGTCTTTCAGCAAACGGGGATTCAGCGTCCGATCCTTTGGAACAGGGACTCACGTGAAGCTTCCAGGACCAGCTCCCGACAAGCCCAATGTTTATGATTTCAAAACCACATATGACCAGATGTACAATGATCTTCTTAGGAAAGACAAAGAACTGTATCCCAGCGGGTTGCCCTTTAAAAACCCCCCGTGTGGCCCTTCCTGGAAGGTGTTACGTGTGGCTCGGGCACAGGAGGCGTGTCACCCTGTGCAGTGCACACACTGGCTCCTCCTGTCTTTGCGAGAACTTGGTTTCTATTCCTGGTGCACATCGGATCGTCCACGGGTTAGTTCCAGTGCCACCCATGGCATTAGGCGTGGTGAGGCGCACAGACATGGTGTGGGGTTCACATTGGCGTGGTCCAGCAGAGGGTTGTGACATAGCATGAACCAGGGATGCTTAGGTGAGGAGGTGGAACCCACAAAATCCCATTGCTTTTCACACTTCAGGGCTGCCCCTTTATTTCCTTTGCCAGGTAGGTGTGTGTGCATATGTGTGTGTGCGTGCATGCGTGCATGTCTGATACACACCGGGCTGCTTCACACATCTGGTGAGGTCCTTAGAGGGTCAGATAAAGAAGAGGGCCGAGCTTGCTACCCAAGCTGTTAGAATAAATAAGGGGAGAGAATGTTCCTTCATTTCGGGAGGACACAGAGCAGACTGGTCTGCCACTAAGACTCCTGTAGAGAGAAGAGTATTCAAATAGATTCTGATGGATGCAACACCAGTTGCATAATGGTTATGACAATCAGTGCCCAGGTTTTTGACCAGGCATTTCATGGTCACCCCCATGCTAATGAAAAGTTTCTGGATCTCCTTTTGTTATAGTGAGTGATTTGTAGTTCTCACAACGGAGGCCATACGTATTCCAAATGGAAAGAGAATGAGGCGTCAAATGCACAACCTTTTGTCTTCATGTTGGCACTGTTGCCATTCCTGCCCTCGCCCAACATTGTCTTCATATTGGCACTCTTGCCATCCCCACCCGTTCCCAACAGGGTCTCACTCTCACCCCAGCTGGAGTGCAGTGGTGAGATCTTGGCTCACTGCAGACTCACTGCAGCATTCGCCTCCCAGGTTCCAGCAATTTTCCTGCCTCAGCCTCTCAGGTAGCTGGGATTACAGGTGCGCGCCACCACACCCAGCTAGTTTTTGTATTTTTAGTAGAGATGAGGTTTCACCATGTTGGCCAGGCTGGTCTTGAACTCCTGACTTCAGGTGATCCACCCTTCTCAGCCTCCCAAAGTGCTGAGATTATAGGCGTGAGCCACCGTGCTTGGCCCTACTCTTGTTACCTTGTTTTTTTTTCTTTTTTTAAATGGAGTCTTACCCTGTTGCCCAAGCTGAAGTGCAGCGGCTTAATCTCAGCTCACTGCAGCATCCCCCTCCCAAGTTCAAGCAATTCTCTGCCTCAGCCTCCCGTTGTAGTTGGGATTACAGGCAGCCGCTACCATGCCTGGCTAATTTTTGTATTTTTAGTAGAGATAGGGTTTCACCAATTTGACCAGACTGGTCTTGAACTCTTGACCTCGTGATCCACCCGCCTCGGCCTCAAAGTGTTGGGATTACAGGCGTGAGCCACCATGCCTGGCCTCTTGCAATTTTTAATGAGCTAAAAAAAATTCTTATACACAGGTAGATTAATTAGGTAGCCAGGAAGGGCCCCTGAAGGTCTTTCTAGCAAAACTTAGAACTGGATCCTAGCCGTCACTGCACCTTCTGCCCTCCCTGCTGTCCTCTGTCAGTTACAGTTAAAAGGTGGTGGGTGAGGACACTGGGCAGAGTCCAGGGCATCTGCTGTCAGCTCCCAAGCCCGGCCTGCCTGCTGAGCCATCTGGGCGTGCCGCAGTGGAAAGTGTGGTGGTTGTGGTGCCATGGTGCTGGGAGCCATCCTGGTGGCAGACGTGGGCTCACTGTGAGTCAATGTAAGTCCCGGGGGACCGTCAGCAGCACGTCCTGCTGCCCCTGTCTCTGCAGAAGCCCTGGTGCCCCGCGTGTGGAGAAACCTCCCTGAGGGTTTCTGAGGAACTGTCAGTAGGCCGTGTCCTCGTCCACCCCGTGTGGAGCACAGCTCCAACGTGGCTCTGCTCCCGTCGTGGGCTGAGGAGGACGGAGCAGGTCGGGCTGCTCCTCGGAAAGGAGGCTCTCCTGACATACCTTTGTGCGAGCTCCCGGTCCGTGCTGTCTCCACTCCTGAGCCTTACGGCGATGGGTGACCACAGAGCCCTTTCCGAGAGTCTGGTTTAGGGCTGGGTCTTCCCGTCGCCCTGGCGGAGGCTTTTGTCTCATATCATGATTCACATTAAACTCTGATGTGCCATGAAGCTTACCCTGAGATCCTGTTTTTGAAAATTACTCTTCAGTTAGCACTGTTCATTTTTAAATTCTTGTATTCAGTAAGAGAAAGAAAAGCAGATAGTGATGCACGTCCTCACACTCCCTTGATTGGTGTAAGCTCAGCCCTTCATGTCAGCCCACTGTGACCTCCTGGGTTCTGGACCTGGGAGGTACTTGCCACGTTCTGCAAGGACTGAGTCCAGCTTCAGCAGACTCATCCGGAAGGACTTGCTATAGGGAGAGAATGAGCCTGTCTCTGGTCATTCTAGAAGAAGGAGCTGAGCCCAGTGTCCCAGAATTTGGAAGCTCCTCCTTTACAGAGGGACTGTAGGGGTTGGCGGTCTCCCAGGAAGCATCCGCCCAGAAGAGCCCCGCATGCTGCGTGCGCTCTAGGTGTGGAGTGGGGGGAGGAGTGGCAGCGGGGGTGCTGTGGCCACGGGGGTGGCGCTGGGACATTGTCAGCCACAGGCTCTGCCTTGGGGACCTCTTGTGGGAAACCGTCGCCTGTGGTGGCCCCTGAGGAGGTGCTGGGAGGAGCGTGCCTTCGTCGCCTTGCTTACTTCGCTCAGGGGGCAAAAGGTGCAGAATGGTGAGCCTGCCACTTAGCTAAAGCTCTTCCACATGCTGCCCTCGGCCTGGAAAGGAGTGAAGTCCCCAGGCTGTTCCCTGTGGACATCAGCATGATGCCGGGTGGGGCCTCAGGGGTGTTGAGATACGCAGGTCGGGAGGACCCCGATAGTGTTTCCTGGTTAGCGATGGGGGCAGAGGGCCTGCGGGAAGTAACTTGCAAGTGAGAGCCCCAAAGCAAATCTGCCCCCCAGCAGCCAGTGTGTTGGCAGAAGTCATGGCTGTAGACTGCAGTGGAAGCAAGAGGGGGTTTCAAACTTCAGTGGAAGCAGATCTTGAGGTCAGAAGTTTGAGACCAGCCTGGCCAGCATAGTGGAACCCCGTTTCTACTAAAAATACAAAAATTAGCCAGGCATGGTGGCACACGCCTGTAATCCCAGCTACTCCGGAGACTGAGGCAGAATTGCTTGAACCTGGGAGGCGGAGGTTGCAGTGAGCTGTGATTACGCCATTGCGCTCCAGCCTGGGCAACAGAGTGACACTCTGTCTCCAAAAAAAAAAAAAAGGATGATGTGACTTGGGAGGAAAATGCTACTTGTTCAGAGGCAGGGCCGGGGTCGAGGGGGACCCTACCACCTCTGCCATCTGCCTACTTGCCTCGTGGCCAGGGCCTGGGTTTCTCTATGCGTACCAACCTCACAGAATTTCTGATAATTAAATTAGGAGATGCACACACACAGCCTGAGACAGGGTGTTTTAAAGTCCTCAATAAATTTTGGCCAGTTGTCCTATTAGTATTGTAATACTTAATTTATTTATTTTTTTAGATATGGGTCTTGCTGTGTTACCCAGGTTTGTCTCGAACTCCTGGCCTCAAGTGATCTTCACACCTTAGCCTTCCAGAGTACTTGGATTATAGGCGTGAGCCACTGCTCAGCTTTCATTTCTTAATGAGAATCTCCTTGACTTTCTGTGAGGTTACCTGCTGGTAAACCCATGCTAAAGTCAAAAAATCATACAATGAACCGTAGTAAGTTAGAGACTGTCTGTATTTGGCTATAGATAGCTGATTGTTTTTTTCCCCACAAGCCAGAAGTGAGCCTGAGGGGTGGAGGGACTTGCTGCCTCTGAAACCTCCCTTGGGGATTTTGGAGGGCGCGAGTCCAGGTTTGCAGCACTGGGATGCGAACCCTCTGTAAAGTTAAATGAGGCCCTGCGCAGGGGCCACGCCTGCAATCCCAGCCTAGGGAGACCCAGGCAGGAGGCTCACTTGAGCCCAGGAACCAGAGGCCAGCCTGGGCAACATAGCAAGCCTCCATCTCTACAAAAAACACAAAATTGAAGTGGGTGTGGTGGACACTCCTCTGGTCTCACAGCCACTCAGAAAGCCGAGGCAGCAGACCACTTGAGCCCAGCAGGCTTCATTGAGCTGTGATTGCGCCGTTGCACTCCATCCAGCCTGAGGAAGAGAATAAGACTGTCTCTTTTTTAAAAAGTTTCGTATCGACATTTTCTTTTTTTCTTTTTTTTGAGACAGTCTTACTCTGTCGCCCAGGCTGGAGTGCAGTGGTGCAATCTCCGCTCACTGCAAGCTCCGCCTCCCGGGTTCACGCCATTCTCCTGCCTCAGCCTCCTGAGTAGCTGGGACTACAGGCGCCACCACCACGCCCGGCTAGTTTTTTGTATTTTTAGTAGAGACAGGGTTTCACTGTGTTAGCCAGGATGGTGTCAATCTCCTGACCTCGTGATCTGCCCGCCTCGGCCTCCCAAAGTGCTGGGATTACAGGCGTGAGCCACCACACCTGGCCTGTATCGACATTGCCTTTTGAGAATTAATAGTATATATACATGGGACTGGATGCAGTGGCTTACACCTGTAATCCCAATGCTGGGAGACCAAGGCAGGTGGATCACCGGAGTTCAGGAGTTTGAGACGAGCCTGGCCAACAGGGTAAACCCTGTCTCTACTAAAAGTACAAAAAGCCAGGTGTGGTGGCTCACGCCTGTAATCCCAGCACTTGGGGAGGCCGAGGCGAGTGGATCACCCAAGGTCGAGAGTTTGAGAGCCGCCTGACAAACATGGAGACACCCCCCGTCTCTACTAAAAATTAAAAATTAGCTAGGCATGGTGGTGCATGCCTGTGATCCTAGCTACTCATGAGGCTGAGACAGGAGGATTGCTTGACCTGGGCGATGGAGGTTGCGGTGAGCTGAAGTTGCGCCATTGCACTCCAGCCTGGGCAACAAGAATGAAATCTCCAAAAAAAGTACAAAAAGTAGCTGGGTGTGGTGGCATACACTTGTAATCCCAGCTACTCGGGTGGCTGAGGCAGGAGGGTCACTGGAACCCAGGAGGCAGAGGCTGCAGTGAGCTGAGATTG